AATTCGTACAAAACTACAGACATAGTATTTTGACTTCACAAACATCTAATTTGAACCAGTGCTGCATTCAACATACCACATGACACAAAATCAATGTTTATCTGTTTTTTTAATATTTACTTTTAAAATAAGACATTCAGTAATGTATTGTACTAAAATTTGAATTATGATCTACAGTTTGATACCAAACTTATTGACATAAAATTCATGAAATCGTAGTTCAATAAAATTTTGAATGTTAGTTGTTAGTCAACAAATGAGATGTCATGGCCTTTCACTCGTGACTCATCTCGAAAGGGTTAAATACTTTGTCTAAGTACACAGAATAATAACATGTAAAAAGAAGACATTGTCCAATAACTATCATAATTTTCTGGGTTTCTAACTATGTGACAAGAGCTGTTAAGTTCCTTGACGTGTTTCCTGTGGCAATAAAGTTTAGGCTGGAAGTAAAATATACAATTTTCTGTACAGACAACAATGTAATATAAAATATCACTTGATAGATTAAAACTTTGGCTCTCTATTATTGGTTATAAAAAATATATGTCAAAGAACTACTGGCAGTTTGTGACAGAGAGAATGTGACAGGTGGGCATGGCAAGAGAGGTCTGATTTTCTAGTTTATGGCTCTGTAACTAAATATGATTGAAGAGCTATAAAAATTATGTTTTGTGTGAGTAATAACTATATTATAATGGGTAATTTATGCTAAATTCCATATTTCTCAGAGGAGTGGTAAATAAATTAGAGAAGAGACAAACCCAGACAGCAAATATCAAAATTTTCATACTAGGGAAGATTGAGGATTTGTTTTTAATATTTCCTTATATAATTACAAACTTACAACATAAAATTTGATTAGTTACACTATGTTGCCAAGTTCATTTGTACACATTGATAACAAATTAAATCTATGATTTTGTATTAAGCATAAACTTATCTTTTACCTTTACCTAATTTCTCAGTATACACGAACCTTCCCAATTAATTTCTTCTTTAAAGCCTCTTTCTTGTCATACATTGTATCACATTATTTTATATTGTATTGCTGTACCATATTCTTTTCTATAATGTATCATTTGAATTGTAGATATGACAACAGTAGACACCTAACCCTCAAGAGAAATGCTGGGTATTTTATATATATATACTAAGATATTTCTTCTCAAATTTGTGGATATGATTTCTATAAAACATTTATAACCTCCAGCGTGCACTTAAACATTTCAACTTTATAACTGTTATTCATTCAATTCCTCAGCATGATCTTTCCTTTCCAGTGTGTATCTATGCAAGAAAGTTTATCATGAAGATGTGGATTTTAAAATAAATATGGTTTCTGTACAAATTATCTGTTTATTGAATGCTGTATGGACTCGAAGTATAATTGCTGCTACAAAATACAGGTGTCATACACGTTATTCTGAACACACGTCTTGAGTGAGTTGTGGCACATGAAAAATTAAATCTTTAATATTACATATACTCGTTATCATAAGAACTACAGGATAAATATATTTATTTTTCCTTAGTATCAAGTAAGAATATCATTTATAAAAGTATTAAAATAACACACAATTACACATAAATATTAAAAACACTATTAACTTCCTGTAAAAAAAAATCACTTACATCATAACTCTCATGAAGGGTACAAACTTTCTCTAAGTCAACCAGCTTTACGCTAACTGTTCCTATTTGAGCATCACTGCGAAGAAATCCTCTGTAGATACGAAAAATCACTTAGAGATCACATTCGAGCATTTCTAAGTTACCCTTGAACTTCTTGAAAGTTTAAAGTCTGATTCATTTTCTTTTACAAATAAAAGAATCCTTGATCAAGACATAATTATCAAAAGACAGAAACAATCAGTATATTTAATTCATATATTCAGATCTCTATATACATAAGCTATTTCACATTTCATTGTTTGACACTTGAATCAGTGGGACAAAAGTGCTTATTTTCAAAACACAAGAATAATTATGTACATGTTACTTCTAAATTACAAAAAAACAATAGGAAAATGAGTAACTATAAAATAATTTAAGAAACATATATCTTATTAATTTTTCTAAATTTTAACTGCACTACAGTGTTAAAAACTTTGACTTTCATAATGTTTTGTATACCTCTTGTCATACCAATATGAATAGCTAAATAAAGTGACTTTTGTTGCATATTATATAATAATAAGCCTTTTTAAAAATGTGTATGTTTCAAACACACAGAGTTGCAAAATAAAATTGACTAAGTGTTTAATACACATTCATGTCTTAGTAATTACGTGATAAATATTTACACCATTTAAATGCTTTAACATCTGCAACAGTTGCAGGATGCCTCATGCTAGTTCATCAATTAGTTTGATCGTGTATGTATGCTGGGCAGTCTGAAAGAACTCTACCATTGGACACATTGGATCACAAAGAGGCAATGTTTTCTGACTCTCTGAGAGTTTGGTTATGAGAGACATTGAATTTTGAGCATAGACGGAATAACTTATTTTCTGTATACCTAATTCTAATTTTCGAAGTGTTGAGACTCAGCTCCAAGTTCAGATGCAGGAGCAACGCTAAGGTATGCTCTGATGACACTACACTCCTATGTGCATATGAAAATATACATGATACGCATCAATTACCGATTGTGATAATGATAGGTATTAAAATGGGCAAGGGCAAAAATGGTAGGAAAAGCTGAGAGGTTGCAGCCCACCCAGCCAGCTCCAAGACAGAGCCCACTGAACCTCCCGTATTTTTAACAAATAAGGATAAAAACTTATACCTTAAAATAACAAAAAATTCATGGTTCCAATTTCTAATATCTGTCAAAAATTCCACCATTTTCTTATCCAGGCCCATCATAAATACACCATTGTCAATTTCATTAGTTCTCAACTTGTCACCCTAAATATATACGCTTTCCTATCATCTCATTGGACAAGCAATCAAATTTAATTTTACTGACAATCAAATATCTTTTTAGTCACTGGCTGAATGTTATAATACTTGACATATGTCACGAAAGGACAACATAATCCAGATTACTCCTTCATATGTTCTACTTATCAATCAGTATTGATGATCTACATTGTTACAACTGCTCCTTTTTTTTTTCTCAATTTCACATGGTGGCTTAGAGATAACAACTGAAAGAAACAGGACACACAAAAAAGAACTAAAGTAATAACACATACCCTTTAGACCAAACTTCCACCTTCAAAGAATGCCTTTTGAAGACACGAGCCAAAGCCCTAGACTTGCGGTTTATTTCAAACTTGAATGACTCTTTATATTCTGTCAAAATAAATAGAATATTATCAGAAAATTTTTCATGTGTGTGTGAGAGTATGTAGAAATGTTTATAATTCACATATGTGTTAATTTTAAGATTATCTAATTGTTTGTTTTAAGTGCAAAACTGCACAATGAGCTATGTGTTCTGGGCCATTTAACCTTGAATTTAGGTGTTATTAAGCCCTTAAGCCTTCTGCTGAGCTATTGTACGCCTATAAGATATAAGTACTTAATTGTTCTAATTCTGTAAATTGTTTTCTGGTTTTATTTGTCTTTGCTACATGACTTATGTGTGATGGTCGTTATTTTAGGCCCAATTCTTGAATAAAGATTAATTCATCTCATTTTTCCAATCTGAAGTCATTCTAGAAAGAAAAAACGGAAATTTAGATTTTTCTCGATTTTTTTTTTGGTGAATATGAAGTCGTCAAATTGAGCAACACTGCATAGAGTTAGGGTGGAGAAAATAACAGATAAAATATAAAGTTTTACTGAAAAAAAACGTTAGAAATGTATTTAGGAGGTTTTAGAGATTACACAAATCAAATCTTAGATTCTTGAAATGAAGAGAAGTATTTTCATTTTATACACGAAAATCATCTTGAACACGAACTATTCAAAACGAATATTTGATATATTCATGGACAAATCTTTTCTAAGTATATTTAAAACACTTCTATAAAAAAGTGATTTTTTTGTATGTGAAAGACTTATAATGTTTACTGAAAGATTGCCAAATTTTGTGAAGATATACCTACTGTATTAAAAGTTAGTAGTATCAAACTTATAAAGATTTTATATAAGTACAAAGAGATCACATGGTTGGTCAAATCAACTGGGTCCATGCTGAGAGAGTTAAACAATTTTAATATCAATGTATGTAAATGAAATTAATATTATAATGTGTGTTACGATTCGAGGTTATATTTTATCAAAGTTTTATGTCCTTTATTTTAAAATAAACCTTTAAAAAACAACTTAAACTTCAGATGTATTGTCACGTGATCAACGAGCTAAGATAATTCTCGAATTTGGCACTCTGTATCTTCAATAATTCAATGGCAGTAATGACGTTACATTTAAACAATGAGATGCTTTGGTTATCTCTCGACTCATTCGTTACAAAGTTCTCTGAGCAAAATAAAGTTGAAACAAGTAATTTTTTCAACCTCTAACAGCTGCCACACCCACCTTCAACATATTTGTTTAAGCTTTATAGCTTCCATGTAGATGTGTACATAACATATACATAGACATTAGAAAGAGGCTATTTTATATTATAAACTAACAATAGTTATTTTGAAATTGGTGCACAGTTGTCCTAATGGGTTATAGGAAATTGGCTGCTTGATGGACTATACAACTTACCATTGTTTCTTAACTAAATACGCTACAGTTAGAGATACAGTTTCTATTGTATTTAGGTCTTACTATTATATTTTTGTCAATTATGTATTAGTTATGTTTTCAAATGCATAATGAAAAGTTTTAAACATTTTTTAAATATAAATCACATTTTGCATCCATTCTCAAGGCTTTTGATATCAGGTGCTGAACAAAAATATTGCCAAAGGTTTGCACAACCGTAATATACCCTAGAGGATACCACTGAACTGTGTCGAGATGATCAATAAGTGATAAAGGACAAGAGAATAAAACTTCAAAAATTAACTACATGTGAAAAGGGAGAGCTGAAATTATGAATTTAACAAATGAAAAATCTTTAAAGATATTCTACAAAAAAAATTAAAAGGTATCTATTTATTTTATATTTTGCAATTTTAATTATTTTGTTGCATTGTATGTTGATGATAATAGCAAGAGTTAGTAATATGGTAGAGAAAATGAAAAAATATAAACATATACCTTAAAAGACTTTTGATATCCTTGTAAAAGTTCTAGAGATTAGGCAAATAAAACTATAAAATGAAGAAAAGTATTTTTATACTTAAAATGAAAATCACCTTGCACTCGATTTGTTAATAGTTTGAAGGTGAGTAACTACAATAAAAAAATTGCATTTTTCAGTAAAAACACTTAATTTTAAAACTGTCATTATTTTTGTACAAGATACTTATGATCTTCAATGAAATCTTACCAGTTTTTGAGAGGATACATTAATAAATCTCAGAGTTACTGCATGTATTGTTGTACAAGTGAATATCGTGACTCAGTTTCCACAAACTGCACGAGCAAAAGAGTTAATATGAGGGCAACACAGCCTCCTTGAGCACTTTGTGTAAACCAAAAGCACATTCCTGATGTGACAAACAGACACACTGGAAGTAGGGTGGGTGGTTCTTTGGAGGGGTGGGTACATTTTAGGATAAGGAAAATTTTAGCTACAGACTATAGTACTCATCTGTCCACAAAACAATTAGGGTGGAGGGTCCAATGCAAAAAAAATAATAATGTAACTCTTGAGAATGCAGCGACAGAAAAAAAAAAAATCACAGAGCAGGAACAGCATTCAGTGAAAGACCTCATCCATCTCTATCAAAAAATATTCTTTGTACAATAGTATTAGTTATTCAAAAAGGTTCTTTCATAAGAATTTTATGCTTTATGCTAGTGTTCCAAAGGTAGGTGGTATGTGAAAGCTGCTTAATTAACAAATCTCAAAAAACTTAAGTGTGGTTAGGGCAGTAGAGTATGTGTGAAACACAAAAATCAAGAATGAATCATCCAAGAGATGCATCTCAAGAAGAACTCAAGATCATCTGGCTGGTCACACTCTCCAAGAATGGTCAGGTTTCTAGTGCTGGGGTAAACTGTATTAATTCTTCAAGGTTGACACCCTTGTCCTACCAGTTGGATTACATTGATCCAAAAGGGAATTCTCCATATTGACCACCCCCAGCAACTTGTTACCGAGGAAGTGAGAGTTCTCCTACTCCACTAGAATAGATTGGAGGAGGGAATTTGCACATGGAGACCTCCAGATAAGTGTGTTGACTGAACAGGAATCATCTCATTTCTGTAAGGTTCCTCACTGACAGACTGTGCAATTGGTTACAGCAAATATAGGCAGTAGGAACTGCTGTATTGAGTGGTTGTTTAGCCTTTTTTCTTTTTGTTCCTGTATGGCTTGGAAGATAAAAAAAATAAATACATACTGCTAAAGCAGTCTTGTGGAAAAACTCCATCTCAACAGTGAGTAGATGGGGTTGACAGTTTCTGTTATTCCCTGCTTAATGCAGATTTTGGTAAAGAGAGATATTTCCTGTAAGGCAACATCAGTCACTTGGTGGGTTTTTTGTTTCCTTTTTTATACTTTTAAATGGCAAAAGTCGAAGCAGTTAAGACAATAATTTATCAACAGCTCTACTCCTTATAGCCTATGGGAAGATGGGATAATTGCAACTGGAGAGAGACAAAACTGCAATGTGATATAAACAATGAGACACAAAATTGTCCATGGTTGTCCACCTGTAGGATTTCAATGGCCAGAACCAAGAAAAGCTGAGAAATAATGTACTTGATGGGAGGTGACACAAAAAGATGAAAGTATCATTTTCAATTGGGAAAAGACAAACCAGATCTTGAGAAACAGAGATATGATTTTCATTGCTTCTAAAGAAAGTTGTGCAAGTGAAGTCACTTCATACTTCCTACATAGGATCAGAGTTTGAATGATCATATGGAGATGACAAAGAAGAGACAGTGATTGGAGAAAACCTTTAATCCCCCTCCAGATATCTCATGTTATAAGAAAGAAGGGGCAATCTGGAAACAGAGTCAATCTGTCCCTGTGAAAGAGTGTGGGAGGTATACAAGACAAAAATATCAGAAATCTCTCACAAGTTGGAAGAAGAAGAAAATACATCTTAAGAGAAAGATAATACAGGAAAAAATTAGCCAAAGGTTTGAAGAGAGGACTTGCGAGAACCTAAAAAACTAAACAGAAATTCAATTTCATAAATGGACCAGGATAACTACTGATTTAAAATGACATGAAGAGATAAGAACCAGAGAAAAAAAAGAAAATTGATCAGAAAAAACACACTGTATTTGTGATTATAGAAATGAATAAACATCTCTCGAAAAGCCAAGTAGAAAAAGAGATTGAGATGAGAAAGAGTCAGATGACTTACAGGAAAGGAATGTTGGATGGACCAATGGTAAAAAACAGTATACTTGTACTGATAAACTACAAGGGTGGATAGTTAACAAGAGTGAGAGCACTGACATGGGTTACTCTGTGAAATAATCCTGCCCATTTTACAAAGGACTGGACAAAAGCCATGCATGAAAATAAGGCATACAGTGGTGGAAGATGAACATCCAAGGCTGATGTTAGAAAATTTCCAAAATTGAAGAGGCAGAGGCTCTTGGATCACTAACAGATGAAGAAGCAGAAACTAAGATTAATCTGGCTAATGATCAGAATGAGAAAAACTTAGAATTCAGAGAAATGCCAGCGGATGTAAAGATCACTGTGTCAGAAGGATTAGGTCCAAATGAGAGAGCCAATCCCTCACTAAGGACAAAGCTCCTAAACCATTTCAGGCTGAATGTAGTGGACGTGGGTCCAAAAGAGGAGCTGAAGTGCATAACCTGTTAACCAATACAAAACACAACAGTTGAGTTGTCTGAATGGATCAATACAAGATGCCCTGACAGATGTAACAAAAATGGTGGCAGGTTTGTTCAACTGTTAATATTTTGAAGTCATTGATGTGTAGAAACTGCTCCTCTGGAGACCAAATACTGGAAATGATGAAGTTGTCCATAACCCTACTCTACCTTGAGAGAAGTATCCATGAACAAGATGGAGGAAGACGGATACCTGGGATTGGGTAAGAATGAAGAAGCCACCATGACAGTAAGAGATGAAGAGATAGACGGAGAGATATCAGAGATTTTCTGGACATATTCCAATGATCTTCAAAACTCCACTCAATAAGATACATAGAAAAAAGATAGACCCTCTAATTCAGGAAAAGAAGGGGAGATTACAGCTTTGATAACCAGAAATTCCATGTCTTGGAAACATAAAG